AAAGAATATCTTGTTGTCGTTGATTTCTCTTTGTAAATGAATTTTATACGGTAAACCTATGGAAACCTTTCTGTGTTCCAAGAGACCAAATAAAGGATACAACTTCCAATTTACGTAATTACCCCATCTGTTGTTCTCGACAGCGTTGTTGTATTGAAGCGCTCGTTTTTCAAATCCGTGATTTACTCCGCGAGTCACTCTTTCCAGTGTGTTTCTAGCAATTACCCTTATCCTAGCAAGGTCTGCGTCATTTGCTACAGTTCTGACCGGTTCTTTTAAAACTTCTCCGTCACCGACATCGGGAATCCATCCCGAAACTGAATCGTAGTTTTTGGGATACAGAACCGTTTTCAACATTGTGTCAAACTCGCCGGGGTGTTTTATGGTCTCTATAGGATTTGAACCAGCTTCCAAAACCATTTCGCTGAATAATGACGGAAAGAAGTTGTTTTCTAAAGTCGTGTTGGTTTGTGGAATTCGATTCTGAGTGGCGTCTTTGATTTTGAAATCGCATCGGAAATGGGCATCGGAAAGCAGCAACCAATTGGACAATTTCAAAGGTAACTCTTCCTCCGTCGTTTATTTGGGTCTTTGTCCCTACCGATGGTGAGATGATTACGTAATCCTCTTTCTTCTTGTTGAACGAATATTGAATCGGATCATACAATTGAAAGATTGGATCCAATCTGTAATTTTTGCTTGCCATTTTTATCCAATGATTTTAAACCCTTTTCCTTGTTTTTCTAGGGCTTGTCGTTCTAGTCTCTTGTTTCTTAGTTCTCTTATTAGCTGTAGTTCTTTAAGTTCGTCAGATTGTTTCACTGCATCGCTTATATTTACTCCTGCTTTAGCCACAGAACCAAGAGCTTGCGCTTCTGAGGAAATGAGGGATTTGTTGTTTGAGACAAAATTGGCCACTTTGGGGATGAGAGATGTTAGCGCAGAGAAGAAACCGTCTCCTTCGAATTTTTTTTGTTCGTGTTTTAAAATTAAAGACATTTTTAATGCGGTTATTTACTGTATTATTATTAGTGATTCTTGTCTGTGGTTTGGGTAATTTATAATACAGTTTGGAGGAGTCTGTTATAATACATTTTTAACAGTTTGGGGAGTCTGTTATAATACATTTTTAACAGTTGTGTCTTTTCGGATATGACACATTGAAAAAGCTGCGCATGCGCAGAAGTGAAATGCGTCATATCCGAAAAGACATATACTATTTAAATCCGATATGAAAGCGAAAAAAATAGGCCATGAACTAGAGTAATTAACGCACTGGCTATCAGCATCGTCACAGTGCATCCGCGCCAATTTCTTCTTGAAGCTTTTTTTTCATGAATTTCATTTAGTGAGTTCTTTAGGGTTATGTATGGTGAAGAGTGGCCTGTCCTATGTTAGAACAAAATGGTTAAGTTATGATACTTGAAGGATCGTTTGGGGAATAGGAAGTATCTTCAATTTATAATGTCTTAATACCTGTCACAAGTCCCTAGGATCGGTCCTAGCTACGTTTCGACGATACGGGTTCAGTTTATATTTACTGCCAACGTGTTGTAATTCAAACTAAATATTAACTATCTTTAACGGTGTTATTGATCTATTTTAACTATATTATAATATAGTATTGATATATTGAATTGTTGATGAAACAAAAAAATGATTAGATGGATATCATGATTCATGAAATAACATAGCTCGAGGCTATAATTTTGAAATTTCCTCAAAAAAA